AGTATTTCTCAATTTGTTCAATTTAAGAAAATAATTGGATTCATGGAAAATACAAATTTTTCTTCCGTTACTTTTTTTTCTCGAGATAATGAATGACATAACAAACGATATATATGAGTTCGTGTTATGATGAGAAAATACTGTAATAAATTATTAAAGAATACAATTGTGAAAGAAAGATGTGAATGGCTCTTGTTTGTACTTATCAAAAGAAAATACAAATGTGTAAATCAAAAATTGATATCTGAGATTTTTTTTTACTTATTGTATTAAATGTTATTTGTTTATCAGTTACTTAACCCTTTAATAATCGATCATTTAACATTATCGTAAAATCAGTTTTCTTTTATAGATAAAAGATAACTGATAGCTTATTTATTTGGAATATTGTCCACAAATATACTAGACTTATTTCTAAACAAACAATTGCCACTAAGTTAGTAGACCTGGCAAAGAAACACAGATAATTGTGGCAAAAAAAAATTGTAGTTGTATTAACTTAGTTCAGATTTTATCTAATATATAGTCTTTGTTGCTAAGTAAGCAATTTCTCACTAATTGATGAACTATTTTAAAAACGTATTTATTTCAATTCTGTTAATTGTTCATTCACTTCAGTTCTAAGAAGAAGAAAAATTATTTTATTTCTTTACTCTTGTAGTTGATTTTTCTTTATCCTGATCATTTGTTCATGTTGTTTATTGTTAAAAACAATTCAAGTAATATTTGTTTAAATTGTATTTTACGCCAAATTAAAAAAAAAAAAAAATTGCATCAGAGACAATTTTAATTACATATGTTTTTTTTAAAAAAGTGTTTAAATGATTATCTGTTAAATTTGGAATATTTTTTAATATAATTGAATGCATTAGATATCTTGTATGTACAGTATGTAAAGGAAGAAAAAAACCGGATCTCTCTCTGAATAACTTTTGATTCAATGATCGGATTTTCACTTTCTCGGACTCTATCTTAATGGTTCGAGGAGGTGACCTCAAATATGCTAATTATACGTGCAGATAATATTTTAAGTTACAAAATCAGACACAAAAATGTTCTTTTTGTGAATAAATATATCTGATCCAAAGTTTGGGTCCCTTAATGTTAACTTTACTTTTTGCGTATTTCGCCTTTTCTCGAGAACCTTTTGAGCTATTTGAAATTTTTTTACTCTCAATTGTAAAATTCGCTTCTTTAGAGATAATTCTAAGCAAAAAATAACTTTTAGTAAGCATTTATTTTTTCTTATTTTATTAAATAATGGTCCAAAAAAATTTTATTGTAAGATATGTAATTTTTTGCATCATTTTTAAGATAGTAACTTTATATCTCAAAATACAAAATTTGAGAAAAATAGGTTCAATAATTTCTTAGAAATTGAATTTCAAAAATGTGGTATATTTAAAATTCGATTTCTCAGGAACTATTCGACCGATATCGCTCAAATTTTGTATTTTGTCGTATAAAATTACATTTTTTAAAATGATGGTAAAATATTGCATACCTTATAATTTAAAGTTTTTTCGACTTAAATAAAATATAAAAAAGTAATAAATATTTATAAAAAGAAAATTTGCATTGAACTATCCTTCACAAATTTCACTATAGTATGCTAGTTCTCATGGAGGATTCGCATAGTATTCAAATACAACTAAAGTAACTTTTTTTTTTAAATAAAAATTTTATGGTTTGCCTGTATTTTTGTTTGCTGAAAGGAGGGGTTGTTCTGAATTTTGGGAAGGGGAAGGCGGGCATCCCTATTCAGAAATTTTTGGAATTTAGACTTGACCTGTCGAAAAAGGAAAAACAAAATAGGCGCTATTTAGTCCTAAATATATTTTTTAAATACATTTTGAATCTAATTTTTATATGTAAAAGTTTTTCAAATGTTAACTTTTAGAAGTACCAAGACATTTAACAAGAAAAGATATTCTATCTGAAATTAAATATTCACTGAAAAATTAATTAATTATTCAATGAAAATAATTTTTTAAGAAAAGGAAAAGTCATAATTATATTATTTATAAACTTATGTAAATCAAGTTAGTGATAAGATTATCTTTATGTAAAAAGATATCATCGTACTTGATTAAGACTTTATCTGTCTTTTATCAAAATCAACCATTTTTTACTGAAAATATTTTTTTTTTTTGAATGTAATTAATAACTCTGACAGTCGCTGCCCGCTTGCTCACTTGACTCTTTTAATGTTTTAAAATCGTCTAGGATTGTTTTTCTTGTTCTACACAAAACCCTCTTTGGATTGTTTGGTATGTAATTGTAGAATTCTGGTTCTAATTTCGGTAAAACTTTATGTTATGATTATTGTAAAACGTTGAAGTGAATTTGTTTTATATTTTATTGCAGATTATTTATAGAAATCAGATTGTTTGTTTAAAAAAGAATATTTTTTCTAAGAGTAGAGCGAAATTACTTCTGTTTATAGTTACATTAAAATTTAAAATTGTTAATTATCAAACAATAGTACGTCAAAGTTATTGGGTTAACCTAGCTCTCGCCATTTATTTTTTGAAATTTAAACGTTTAGATGTTTTTTACATAATGTTTTAGATTAATTGAAAGCGGATGTTTTGTTCTTCTGGAATCTATGTTTTGTTTGTTTGTCCAAGTTAAATTATTATAATTTTCAGGTTATTAAAATGGAATGTCAAGTTGTGTAATAAGAATTTTCGACACTTCTTTTTATTCGTCAAGGTTCTAAATCCGCAAAAGCTGCTCGTGACTTTTGTGATGTGTAATAAGAGGGAGCCATAGCTGAAAGAACTACTTGAGATTAGTGGCCAAGTTTAAAAAATTGAAATTTTGACCTCAATGACGCAGTCAAACTGATTTTGACGAAGAGTTATCAAAGCAACTTTTGCACAAAAATTCGCGTCTAACGATAGGGAAGATTAAATGCTCCCATTTAACTCTTTTTTTTTAAAAAAGGGGGGAATTCAGTTGCCTTCTCTATAATTTGAACACAGCTCAAAATACCAATTTATAATACGCGTTTGAAAAAAGGATACATCGCAAAGTGTGTGCCAAGAAAATAAACAAATCTTGATTTGCGCCGTTTGGAAAGAAAGACATGGCTTCAAATGCATATTTATGAAAATAGACGTCAAATGCGTTTTAATAAAAATTGACGTAGCTTTAAAACGCGTGTTTTAAAAAAATGGACGTAGCTCAAATCTGTACTAAAGAAAATTAACATATGTATTTTGAATTACTCTTATGGCTATTGTATTTTAAAGAATTAACAAATAAATAAAAAATATTTGTTGTGTTGAAAAAAGCTAAGAGAATTTTCACCTTGACTTGGTATGCGCATTTTTCAAAAATAGGGCCATATTAAAAGAGGAACTCCTCGGGCTGTAGCCTCAAGTTCTTAGAAGGGGCTTCTAAAGTTAAGGAAAAGTAAAATTTATCTTCTAACGGTAAAATTGATGTGCGTAATTTTCTAAAAATTTATTTGATATTTTCAAGCGTAAGGTATTGCAATCGTTCTTTAGAATCATCAGAACGGAATTATGCATTTAGTGTAGAATTTGGAAAATAGAAAGAAAGAAAAATTGGGGTATATTAGGGCTAGGACTTGGCAACGCAAAAAATTTTATATCGTGATATATCGTCTGTTAGACATCGCGATTTATCGTCTGTTGGGCATCGCGATATAACATAAGTTCGAATATTGTTTCTTTTGAATCAAAACTGCACAATCGGAAATTTTAATCGAATATCTAAAATAAATAAATCTACAACAAAGGAAAATGTTAGTAAAAAGTGCTTTTATAACATCAATAACATCGCTTAGTTTTTTTTAAAAATTGAAATAGAGATGGATTGACTTAAAACCAAACTCTAAACAAAAATGAAGGTGTAAGCTTTGGTAAACATCAACGAGAATTAAGGATTTTGTGAGAAAAAAAAAATTTTTTTTTTAAATATATAAGAACAGTTTATTGTTACAAACAGAATAATATTTCATAAAAAAAAATTGCACAGCTCTAATCTTTAGTTTTAATAATTGAGTTTGAGCTGAGCTTACTAACCTAAATTCTGGTGTGTTAAAACCTTGCCAAACTCAGACTAACCAAGAATCGGCAATTTTATTCTTAGACTATTATAGTAATGTACCTTTCTCTATTATGCTCCTTTTCGTTTTGTGTAGCTATAACAATTATAAGTGAAAAAGTGCAATTTTTGAGCAGTCGAATAAAATGACTAGGTGCAATTCTCTTTAAAAAAATCTATAGCTATAAAAAGTTTAATAAATTTTGAAGAACTTCATTTTTTTTCATTCTTAAATTTTTTTATAAAACCCCTTTAAATTTAATTTTATATTTGTACAGTGGAGAACATATTTAAAATAGATGAAACTTTTTGCAGTATTAAATTATTTAAATCATTAACATTTTTATTCTTTTTATGAAAAATACATACTATTTTAATTAATTTCTCAAATTTCTGTTTGAATTTCATTATTTATTTCTGGAAATTAATTTTTCCACGCTTATATATTTAGAAATTATACATATCTACATATAAGTAATTTTAAAAAAATATTTCCCTTTGATTTTTCTTGTAGCTTTTTGCTAAGTTGACTCAAGTGGTAATGGAAAATAAAGTGAACATTCTGTTTTTATAAAATGTGTGCAACTATTACAAAAGTGTGACTAAATGTGTAATTTGATTTTAAAGTTTCCTCTATGTTGATATTTCGAACTACCTTTTTATTTCAACTAAAAAAATTCCATCCTTCCACTGTGTCATTAAAAAAATTAATAAATAAATAAAAAATAAATAAATAAGTTAGGAAAACTGGTTTTGGCTTTGAAGCAGAATTATAAAAACATTTTGTTATTGTTTTACTTCTAAAAAATTTATCATGTCATAAATATAGCAATAACATTTTGCTACTCAGAATTTTTTGTAAATATATTTTTATTTATAAATATATATTAAATATGTATTTAAATATACCTGAAAATTTGTAGGACGCTCTCATATGGCATTTGTTCGACATGTAAATAGCTCTGGAGAAGGTGATCCATTTTATGAAATACTTGGTGTTGTAACTCTTGAAGATGTCATAGAAGAAATATTACAATCTGAAATAATGGATGAAACTGATGTACTAAGTATGTTCAATGTTAGAACTTGTTCTCTTTATTGATTTTATATGTATCTTTGAAATTGACCCATTTTTATTTCTTAATAGCTGACAATCGAGGGAAACAACGACGAAAGGAAACACAACAAAGACAAGATTTCTCTGAATTCTGTAAAATCGGTGGAGGCCAGCAAGGAACTACTATTGTATCGCCTCAACTTGCATTGGCGGCGTATCAGTTCCTTTCAACATGTAAGTTACAGATATTGCACTTCAGCATTTTAATTAACGGAATTGTGAACAATTTCAAAATGTGTAACCTGTTTCTCTTGAAATTTGGAAGTATATATTTAGAAAATCAATTTTCTTTTAAATTAATTTTTTTTTCATTTAATTTTTTTTAATAATAATTTTAATAATTTAATAATTTTTGTTTGGTGTGTCTATTCTGCTATAACTGTTTTAAAAACTAGTAAATAGTTTGTAAGATTTGATTATTTTGCAGGTATGTTATTATAATTTGCATCAATCCACAAATTTTATCTGTTTCTTAAAATTAGTTTAAAATTACTATTAAACATGAGTCTAGAAAGGTTCAAAAAGGTTAAATTTGTAATTTTTTATGCATATTTTTATAAATCTCGTATAAAACCCAAATTACATTAGAAATTTTGATTTCTCTTGTCTTTTTTCTTCCAATTTTATTGGTATAAAAAAAAGATTTAAAAGTTAGGCAGGCTCCAGATTCCTTGGGGAAAAAATTTATTTTTATGAAAGCTAACTAGAATATAAACTAGAATATGCATTTTATTTTATCTCCCAATTTCTTATTTGAATTCAATTGATTTTGTAATTTCTCTTTAAAACACACTACTCAAAAGTTAAAGAAACTCACACTCAGCAATGGACTTTATTTCATTTCTTCTGACATTAGTTCCTTCTTTCCCTTGCTACCCACATAGACAGCATTGCTCGCTCACAAAACTGAACATTCTGTCCCACGTTGTACTGGTTCAACCAGGCAATCATTGTTATACTCAACAATTAAGTGTCCTAATTAACATTCATTTAACCCTTTACACAATTAGCATTTGCAACTCTCACTTACATAAATCACTAAATGCTAATTAACAACACAGTTCATAATTCAGTAAACATAAAATATAGATTAAGTAGTTATATACATATATAGATTTTAACATTATTTGTTTGGAACATCCATTTGCCTCGTTGTTGCAGTCTGCTCAAATAGTTACCACTCTAAATTTCCACATTAATTTAACTACTCTTGTTATTTTTTAAGATGACATTTTGTTACATTGTTCTTTACATTTTGTTAAATCTGGCTCTTCAATAAAATTTAATGATCTATTTAATAAAAGTGTACAGAACTTCAAAATTGTAATTATTGGCTGACAGGGATGATTCTGCCGGGAATTCGCAATTCCCTCAATTTGTACTGTAATTATATTAAGTTTTTCATAAGTTAAGTTTATCCCTTTTACAGCCCTTTTCAAATTATATTTACATGATTATATGACTACCTCCCAAAAGCCATCAAAATTGGGAACTCTTGGCAGAATGAATTTCTACTCAATCCGTTCTGCTGCTAAATAACCAGCTAATTTTTTACTGGTTTCTAACCATTTCTTGAAGTCTTTTAATTTTATTGCTAGCTCTGAAAAAATTTTAACGTTGTCAGAAAACAATTTTGCTCATTTTCCTTTTAGAGCAGTAAACCTTTTCTACGTAGCAGTTAATGCTTCCGATGTTAAATCAGAAGTTAACTTGGTATGTATGGCTTTAAATAAATAATAAGAAAATATACATCGATACATTTTATACTAAATTCCTTTAAGTTGTCCTTCATTCTTAAAGAAAAAAGGACCACTGGAATCAACTTCAGAGCAATTAAATGGATAATCAGGTATAAGCCTTTTGTTGGGCGAGTTGTCTCTTATTTGAGTTGACACTATTAGTTTTGCTTTAAAACAAGTTATGCAATTATAGACAATTTTTCTGTAATTTAATCGACCACTTAAGGGCCAAAATTTTTCACGAATATGGTTAAGTAACGATACAGGTCCTACATGTAAATATTTCTTATGAAATATTCTATTATTATTAAAATTCATTTGTTATTCTTAGGTAAAATTTCCTGATGCTTTTTATTGAAATTAAACTTTATATTACATAAGCGAACACTGACTCATAAAATGTCATTATTATCCAAAAAGGGGCTAAGAGTCTTTAACTTACTGTTTGATAGTACACTTCCATGTTGTTTAATACTTTTTATTTCAAAAGAAAATTCTTGTTCGTGATTGTTTTTTTTTTTTTACCAGAAAGTTTTCTGCTTTTTCAAACTCCTTCATCCACATAGGACACGTTGTTTTCTGATTTGTTTTTACATTTTCCACAAACCTAAAAAGAAAACTCACAACACGTAAAATAGTTATATAATTATTGCTTAAATTAATAAAATCATTTATAAAGTTATTAACATGGATATTAAGCACAGATTGATAGTCTTCAAATTTTCTGTTGGAAGAATTTTTCAGTTCTGTATTATACTCATGGTGTATTTCACTACAGTTTATAGTTCGATTTGTGTAATCATTTCCTACAAGAAATTTGGTCCATGCCATCACAAGTTGTGATGCAAAAGTTTATCAGGATCAACCCTTCAGGGAGACTAAGCCTGCAGGATTTTTATCAGTTGGTACATGTCTCCATGGCTGATTAGGAAATAGTTCTTGTGTTGTGGCCACTCTGTTTTGAACAAAAAATTTTAAGTCTATCAGTTCCTTTTGAAGCCAGGCTATAACCATAATGGAGTATACCCAAAGGTATATTTGAGCAGTTTCTAACTTGAATGCTGCAACAACTCTTTTCACAAGTTTTGATAAAAGAACCACAGCACATAACTAAAGTCTTAGGTTAGTCAGATATTTTATAAGGGCCATTCTTGATTTGCTCGTGATAGAACTAACTTAAGTCTTATTCATTTAATTTTTACATTTACAGTAGGCTGCTGCCTTATAACATTACTATGATGCATTAGCAAAGCTATATACTTCTATAATTTTTGGAAGTTTGATGAAAATTATTAGTCTTGGAATCTCTATATTGTTGATGTTCTCTGAAGACACAAGAAATTGGTGCCACTCTCGATATCCTTTATCCGGCGAGTCATCCCAGTCCATTTTTTTAATTCTTCACAAACACTGAAGGAAGAAAAATCTTTGCTTTTGCTATAACCATGGCCACCGGACCAGTCAGGTCAAAAAGCTTGGCGTTAGTGAACAAAATGTCACATTAAGTGTTACTCTGACTAAAAAACAATCCAGGATTGGTTTCAAAGATACACCTTAAGTTTTTGTTTCTAATAGCATTACAAAATTATATTTGCATCCAGAATCTGGTGATAGTTTCACGTTATTTTCACAGAGTTGGTGTAGTTTCATGTCATCACTTTGCAAAATTCCTATTGTTGCTTAAACTCAATTGCCTCTAATCTTGCAGCACTGCAACAATTTTTGTATGGACAATCGTCCATATAAAAATTCTTTCATAAGACTGATGCAATTCCATTTGTGTAGTGATTCCATGATGCGATTTACTTGATGCATAGCATATATTACTTCTGGCTCAATTTCATTAGTAACCTCTCTCATGTGTCCCAGTTTTTCATATTCATCTTTTGCTAAACCATTCTACAGCGATCTGAGTTGTTTGAGGACAAAGTTTTTTGAGTATCCCAAACATGAGGGATTATGAAGAAGGATAAGCCAAGGGTGCCAATTTATCGAGAAGATGATGGTGGAATATTAAGGTGTGGTCGGAGTAGTTGGAGGGTGTATTCGTATAGTGGATTAGTTGAAGATATTGACAAATTGAAGATTGCGATGAAAACAGAAGATGATAAAATAATAGTTGAGCCGGATAAGAATTAATAAAAAAGCTTTTATTTAGTAGTATATTTGCAGAGCTCGAGGTATCAATATATGAATATCATTCATAAGAATTTGAGTTGAATCAATTTTTGCATAATATTTTTAAGGACAGGCCATGGGAGACAATTCCCCCACAACCTGCCTAATCAAAAGCCAAATTAAAAAGTACATGTAATTTTGTTCCCAGCGGACACAGAAGCATTGGCAGGAGATCCAAAATTGGCGATTTATTAAAATATAGCATAGCCAAAACAAGGCCAACCAGCATATCAAAATAGAGTTAAAATAATACCTTGGCGATCACGAGTCGCCAACAAATTTATGTGAATTATTACAACCATGCAACCGAAACATTTAGCCGTTGGAAAATTAGAATAAAAAGTTATAAATAGATTTTTGTTTTCGATTAAAGGCGACAGTGAATATATAAGTCTGCATTAGTAATGAAATAAAAAAATATCCGTTACATTGATCTGGAAGAGAAGAAATAAATATTTTATGTTTGTTTTAAAAAGATTAAGTTTGTGATTTATTTTAAATGTAATTCTATTAATAAAAAATCAGCTTAAGTAATGAAAGATATTTTAAAAGATAGAAAATAAATATATGTGTGCCAATTCTGGCATCACATATATCCCCGCTGAACACAGAAAAAAAAATATGTATATATATAGTATATATATATTTTTTTTTTAAATTAATGGATCTCCCCCGTGTTACAAAAAAATTTATGCATTGAAACATAATATATTCAAGAAACAAAATATTAATATACACTTATGTATAGTTAAATATTAAAGCAAAATTATTAAAAAAAATTTATGACATAAATTTATACTTCAAATATATATTTTCGATATTCATGTTATTAAATCTTATGTTGATGTAAAATTAGCTGAGCATTGTCATCACCTGGACAGGATATTCTAATTTCTCTCGATTTTGAGAAAACTTTATCAGTAACAAACAACATAATTTGCAAAATCATTTCATTTACCCAAAAAAAAAATTTTTTTTATTTTTTATACTTAATTCTTTTCCACATTGATATACCTATACAATTCAAAATATTTAAACATATAAGTGCAATTTATCTTATCATATTCTATATTTCTTATTATAAGTTAATAAAATGTTTGTTAATATCAAATGTCTATAAGTGTCAATAAAATTCTTTAGTTTATTATTAGAAACATACTGAGCATGAGCATATAATTCAAAAAAAAAAATATGAGCTTTTATTTCAGTTCTAAGTAAACAGTTGATCAGACTGCTACATTATTTACCTAGGTTTAGTCATCCCTTTTTCATAAGGGGCAAAATTATCATCTCTTATATTTCAAGAGGCAAAATTTTCATCTCTTATATTTCAAGAGGTAAAATCATCTCTTTTATTTCAGAGGCAAAATTATCTAAAAATGCAGCATGTATATCTATATTTTATTTAACATTTTTTTTTTTTAAACCTTTGAACTAATTAATATGATCTAGAAAGCATGTGATCAGGATTCCAACCTGAATTTTTGTGACACAATGTATTAACAATTATACTATCACAGCTATCTAGTATTAAATTCAAGGTAAAATAATTTTATAGTTTTTTTTTTTATTAACCCTATCAACTTCTGAATTAATGTTATAGCATGCCTATGATCAGGATTCTAACCTGAATTTTTGCATACTTGATGCATTGTATTAACATTTATACTATCATGGCTGTATATTATATTCAAGAAGATAAAAGTTATTTTTTTTTTTTTTTTACTGCATCTATAAAAATTCACTTCATTTTAATGAAGGAAAATTTTGTCATCTTATATAAAAATGCTCAATTATTCTTATTTTGAATTTCATGAATTTATTTTTAGCTCAGTTGGACACTTATTTAAAAATTAAAATACTTAAAAAATACTCGACAATTGCATTGTTCAAATCAATAGAATATTTTTTTTTATATATATAATAATGTTTCACAATTTATTTATGTTTTGATTAAACAAAATATTCATGAGTAACTGTTTGGATTAACCCTATTTAATATGCACTTTCATTGAATAAAATAGCTTACTTTCTTAAGAGAAAAACTATTTGTGACAAATATACAGTGGAAAGTCGCGTATCCGGAATCGGCGGGACTTTCCGAAGTCCGGATAATCGATTTTTCCGTATAATAGACCCCCAAGGTAAACAGAGATTAAAATGATCTGAATCTAAGAAGCAGAAATTAAATAACATTATTTTTCGGGCAATAATGTTTTAGTATTAGAATGATATCTAATCAATCAAAAACAAAATATT